ATCAAAAAGGGGTATCTTCATCTCCCAAAGGAAATATGTCCTAGATTTTCTCAAGGACACAAGAAAGATTGGGGTTAAACCAGCTGACTCTCCCATTGATCCCAACCATAAGTTAAGTGACAGTCAAGGTGAACCACTTAAGGATGTGAAGCAATTTCAGAGGCTTGTAGGGAGATTGTTGTACCTCTCTATGACTCGTCCAGACATAGCATATGCTGTTGGTGTCCTCAGTCAGTTCGTGCATGCACTAGGTCCACCCATCTTGAAGCAGCGGAGAGAGTACTACGGTATCTTAAGAAGTTCCCGGGTGCTGGTTTATTATTCCAGAAACATGGACACTTGAGGGTTGAAATTTACACAGATGCGGATTGGGCTGGATCTCAAAGTGACAGAAGGTCTACTWGTGGYTAYTRCACCTTTGTARKAGGGAAYCTTGTTACTTGGAGGAGTAAGAAGCAAACCGTGGTAGCTAGATCCAGTGCTGAAGTTGAATGCCGTGCAATGGCACACGGAGTAGCCGAAAGGTATGTGGATAAAGAATCTATTGAGAGAGTTGGGTTTTCTAGTTGGTAAACCCATGACTCTACTCTGTGACAACAAGGCAGCTATCAGTATCGCTGCCAACCCGGTACTACATGATAGAACAAAGCACATTGAAGTTGACAAGCATTTTTTCAGAGAGAAAATCATCACAGGCGAAGTATGCACTCCATACATCAGCTCTGAAGACCAACTTGCAGACTTATTTACAAAAGGGTTAAACCATTCCAGACATCAAGGTCTCTATGACAAGTTGGGCATGATTGATATCTATGCCCAACTTGAGGGGGAGTGTTAATAGGTGTATTATATGTACTGTACACAGGCTTAATACCCACAGGGGTATTTTCGTAATTCTGTAGACATATTGTTATGTATGGCCAGAATAGTATAAATAGAAAGCTTCACTCGACTGAAGCTAAGTTTTGTTGAGGCCTTAACTCAGTTGCCTCTTATTCTTCTTCCTCTTCTCTTCTTCTTTTCTCCCTCTTCTCTTCTTCTTCTTGGTCTCCTGCTCAACAATTTCTTCCAAGTTTGTTGAGTTGGCTTCTTACTCTGATCAGATGCTGATTTCTTACTTAATTCCTAAGGCCACTTAGGCTTCCCATGGAGGTGGTCCCAACATGTGTCTCTAGTCTGCCTAGACTTCTGACAGTGAATACACTAAAGTTTGTCTTTGTCATTCACTCTCTTCTACATATCACCCTTCTTAAAAGAGCCTCTGCCATTTGTACTAGTAACTCTCTAGACTGCCAATGCAACTAGCTCCCCCTTTGTACAATTCATCACACTTCTTCTACTCTCTTAAGACTGAACTATGGCATAAACCTTCTGGACTGAAGGTAAGTGCTTACTTCCCAAGATTAGTACCTTGATAGACTCATACATAGGGTTCAACCCCAAAAGAAAAGCAAATACTTGTTGCTTGAAGACAAGTGATTTGTAGGCCTTTGCATCTTCATCACATTTCCAATTCACACTTTGGTAATGATCCAGTTCCTTCTAGATTGAAAGTGGAGGATTCAGCTTGTTGCTGGAAGACAATTCCTTCTAGATTCAGCTTGTTCCTTCTAGATTGACAAGCAAATACTTGTTGCTGGAAGACAGTTCCTTCTCCTTGCTTGCAAGTGGAGGATTCAGCTTGCAGTTGGTATATCTTTGTGTAGTGCCTCTGCTCTGAATAGGTAGATTTTGCTTGTTCCCAAATTTCATAAGCTGTTTCAGCCCATATGAATGTCTTTCTTCCAGCAGCATAGAAACCAAGAGCCATGACATCACCATACTATTTTCTTGGGTCCACCTATCATGTCCAACACTTCTAGTCTTTGGTTCCTTCACTTTACCATTAGTATACCCTATTTTCCTCCCTAGCAGTAATGTAGAGTTTAATTCCCCTAGACCATTCAAGTAATTTAGTCCATCAAAGGGATTTACAGCCACAGAGAAACTCATATCCAGCTCCCCACTCACTCCGTTTTGACCACTAGAAACAACAGAAGTTGCAGAATTCTCAGAAGACGTGGTTCAGTTCACTATTCAGCCTCAACACACACCCAAAGATCTTCCCTGACACCTAAAACAGTCCTAGAAACACAACAGAGATGCACACACTCCAGTTTGGACACAGTCTGAACACAGACCAGCTCCAATTCCCGTAAAAAAATTTAGTTTGATTTCAGTGCTGTACAGGTTTAACAGTCACAGTCCACCACTCTTCCAGATCAACCAAGCACACCAGCTACCAGGAGAGATCATAAAACAGTATCGTCACGCCTAAAAAGGGTAAAAACAGGTCATCCATGACCTACAGGTGTTTCATTCACAGGTACAGGATCACACGATCCACAGAAAAGAGGTTTGAACCTCAACCACTCTGACAGCATTCAACAGTCTTGATTCATATGGTTTTTCCTTGGTACACGACCAAGAGAAGGAAGAAGGAAATAAAAAAGGGTTGTATCATTCGTAGGTTATCTTTTTCTGACCTCAGTCTGGAAAAACAGAAAGATGAAGAACAAAACTACTTGTTTGATCTGCTCTCAAACCCAGTAGTAATGCTCTGATACCATATTAGTGGAGAATTACAGAAGAAATAAGGAAGAAGAAGAGAAGGAGAGAGAGAAAGGGAGAAGGGAGAAGGGAGAAGAGAATAGAAAGTGTTTGGGAGGTAAATCTGTTCTGGCGGCGCCAGAATATATTATTATATATAGGGCGACACTTAAAAGATAAGAAAAAGACTCTTATGCCCCTGCGGCACATACAATACATAAACAAAATAAAAACTAAGTTATTTTAAACAGAACAACAGAAAATAAACTAAACAAAATAACCAGAATAAACTAAGTTATTTCAACAATAAGAAAAGAGAGTACAAGCTTCTAAGGTGTTAAGACAACACATTCAAACTATGAAACCAAATCAGAAAAAATTATTAATATTACAACTTCCTAAATCCAACACCACCCAAAGCCTCTCCTTTAATAACTTGTGCAAATTCTGGAATCCATGATGCTACCTTTAATATGTATTTTATGCTTGTTCTGCTTTTGTTGTAGAACTTATCAATATTGGTGCCATATATTTTCTTGCCCCAATAAAGGGGAAGTGCCATGCTTCTTTTTCTCCATTACCATTATAATTGAAACCGGAATGAAATGGCTTATTATTTCATATGATAAACAAGAATATGAGGTTGTTACTGTAGAAGATCAAGAACAAAAACAAAGTAATATCTGCTTATGTTTCTAAGATTCTTTTTTGTTGTTAGATTTATAAGAGTTCCAATTGTGTAAAAAATAGAAGAGATCATCTTAAGAGACACTCTTTGGTTGTAGGGATATTTTTCAGCTTAAGAAGCACTTTTTGAAACTCTTGAACAGATATTCTTATATATAACTGCCTATTATAGTATTCTGTCCATTTTAAAATAAGCTTCATTTATTTTTGTAGAGGGAATGTGCAAAGGCTGAATCTGTTGAGATGATTGGCTTTGCAAGTTCGGCCATATCTGTCATTAATAGTGCTGAACTATCCATTAATGAAGGAGATGACACTGAATTGATTCACATGGATGTAGATCAGAGCTTCTTGCAGATACCATCCCCTGTCAAAGCTGCGATATTTGAGAGTTTTGCAAGACAGAACATGGTTGAGTCAGAATTTGACGTGAAGACTGGCATTCGACAGTTTATCAAGAGCAACTATGGATTCCCAACTGATAGTAGCACAGAGTTCATATATGGGGACTCTCCCCTAGCCCTTTTCAATAAGATGGTCCTTTGCTGCATCCAAGAAGGTGGAACCTTGTGCTTCCCTGCTGGGTCAAATGGAAATTATGTTTCTGCTGCCAAGTTTTTGAAGGCAAAAATTGTGTATATTCCAACCCACTCTGAAGAAGGTTTTAAGCTCACAGAGAAGAAACTGATGGTCGTGCTTGGAACAGTGAATAAGCCATGGTTGTACCTCTCGGGTCCAACAATCAACCCAACTGGCTTGCTTTATAACAATGAAGAAATGTGTGTGTTACTATCTGTCTGTGCCAAGTTTGGGGCAAGAGTTGTGATTGATACATCTTTTTCGGGTTTGGAATTCAACACTGAGGGTTGGGGTAGATGGAATTTGGAGGATAGTTTGTCAAAGTTGAATTGCCTAGGCAATTCATCCTTTTCTGTGTCATTGGTTGGAGGTCTTTCTTCTGAGATGCTGACTGGTGGTCTCCGATTTGGGTTTCTGGTTTTAAACTCATCCGAATTGGTTGATGCATTCTATACCCTCCCAGGATTAAGCAAACCTCACAGCACCATGAAATATGCAATAAAGAAGTTGCTGGATTGGAGAGAGCAGAAAGCAGGAAATCTATTGAAAGCTGTTACAGAACACAGAGGGATTCTGAGGAACAGATCTGACTGCTTAAAGGAGGTATTTTTTTTTCAAGAAATTGCATTGTCAGGCTTCAGGATCCTCTTAGTTAACTATAGTTATTTGTTATTATTGTTATTTTCTGCAATGGAACTTCAATCAAGGTTTGAAAATTCTAAATATAGCAAAAAAATTGTTGAGAAATTTGCATCAATCTATTGGCAGTTAAACCTAAGTATATATGGCTATATATTAATGTACATTTCTATGCACTGACATACACATATAGTAGTGATAGCTGAACTTAATCCTATTATTTGGCACTGCAACACGAACCCTACTATTCTATTCCAGTCTTATCTAGGCCATTATCTTCTGTTATATGATAGGTTCTTAAATCTTTCCTGACTACTTTCATCTGGATCGTTCCTACTTGCATTAATTTTTTCATTCTCACCAGTGCAGTCATTGCAATGATTTGCTTGGTCCCCTTGTCAAGTTGAATTTAGGGGGTGTAAATTGGCTACTGAATTTAAGGAAATTTTATTACCTTAAGGACCCTAGTCCCTTCAAAATTTACAAATGCTCAACTTAGGCCCATCCAGTTGCATTCACCTCTAGTCATCTTCCCTTCAACTTATCATCTATTAGGGTTACTACCAGATTCTAGTGAATATATTAATTTTAAATGTTAGCTTTGAGTTAACTTGTGTGTAGTGAAGAGAGAGAAATATAGAAATACCCCTGGTTACAACTTAATAGAAAAAAGATAATGTCAATCCTAACAATACTCCCCCTAAAGTTGGGTTGTATATATCTCTATCATTCCCAACTTGGTACAAATGTCAACATGTTGGGTACCCGTAACACCCTTGGTGTATCACCTAATTGTGATCCTGTAGAGAGATTGGGTCGAATGGGCCCTAGTATCTTTTCTTGTAGTATGTTATTTATTTATCTGTTAGCTAATGGGTCTATCATTATGGGCCTGTTATTTCTTTTTGTTAGTTCTCTTTATGTTACTGCCTATCTGGCTGCCCACTTAAGGGCATACTTGTAATTAACCTAAGGTTGAAGTTAAACAAAAGGATTGGAGAAGGGAGGGAAGAGATATTCAAACTCTTCTTCTTCTTCCTCTTCTTTTATCCATCTTCTTCCTTTGTGCTGCTGTTCTCTATTTTTCTTTCTTCTTTCTCTCTAAATTTTACCAAGTTTATATCAGTTTTATAGGACCGATTTATATCTTGGAATCAGAGCAGGTTTCTTCTTCCTTCTTTTTCTTTCTCATTTTCCTATACACCCTTCAATTAAGAGAGTGTATGGAGAGATAGGTTCTCTATAGTTCAGAGAACCTTTTTCCTAATTGGTAGATGGTTTGGAGAGTTGTATTCTGGGTGGAAACTGCCACGAAGTGATGCTGTACTATTTCTGCCCAAAACCCTAGCCGATTAGAGATTTTCGAAGTTACAGATAAAAGTGAAGCATGGTGTGGCGCTTTGTGCTTGGGAGGTGTCTTTTGACTTCTAAAAGAGGGTGGTTCAGTTTTGGAAGAGATTGGGAAATTCTGGTAGGAGCGGCTGCATCTTCTCTCTTTCTCCCCGACAGTCGGGTGCAGTGAAACCCTAGTTTTCAAGCATCTAGGTACTGGTTTGACTTCAAGTAAGTTTATAAAGATCAAATTTTTGGTTTTCTGAATTTTGTTTGATTAATGGAGCAATACGGAAGTGAGTTCAAGCAGGTGCCTATTTTCGGGCTTGGCTCGGTAGATTTTGTTTTGACAGGTGTGGCCACAATTAAGCTAGATGGAACAAATTATCTTGCTTGGGCACAACCTTTAAGGATTTATGTTTGTAGTAGAGGAAAATTAGGGTATCTCATAGACAGTAAGGTGAAACCCGAAGAGACAGGCCCTGAATCTGAGAAATGGATGTAGGAGAACTATACAGTCATAGGATGGCAGTAAGGTTGGTCAACTCTATGCAGCCTCATATCAGTCAGCACTATCTCTGGATGTCCTCGACCAAGATATAGGAAAGTGTTACTAAAACCTATTCACAGAAGTTGAATGTGGCTAGAGTCTACAAGCTGAAAAATGATATGAAGAACCTAAGACAAGGGGAGAAGAGTGTGGCAATCTACTATTCTATGCTGAAATCCCTATGGTAGTAAATTGATGTTATGGAGACAGTGGTATGGGAGAGTACGAAGGATGCAGAAGCTTTTAGGAAGTTGGTGGAACGAAACAGGGTCTTTGAGTTTCTTAAAGGACTCAACCCTGAGTTTGATATCATTAGGCAGAATATTCTGGCCAAAGATGAGGTTACTCTTGCCCAGGCATATGCTATGGTAAGCAGTGAGGAGAGTAGTCGGTAGGTTTAGTTACAGAGTCCACCTACGGAACACTTTGCACATGCTGGAATAAAGACGAAAGGTCCAACTGAGAAGGAGTAGGTATGTGAATATTGCAAGAAACTGAGGCATACTAAGGACACTTGCTGGAAGCTTCATCTTTATCTTCTACCTGATCAGTTTAAGAATAACAACAATTTTAAGAAGACCAGTCAGACAGGAAAGCCTAAGTCAGCTAATGTTGCCACAGTACTTGAGGGAGGAAGTAAGGAGAGTGAAAAGTCAACCATGGAACAGTTGGCAGCAATAAAGGCATATTTTGAAAAGTATGGAAGGTTGTTAAATCACTTGGAAGCTACTATCTCTACATCTCACTCTTCAAGCAACACATTAGCATCATCAGCATTTGCTCACCCAGGTATTTGTGCTTTTGCAAATCATGCTTCAGTTTCAAGTAATCATAAAGTCCCTCAGATCATTGACTCTGGTGCATCAGACCATATGACCAGCTTGTCTAATCTTTTTGTTCATACCACCTCCTCTCTGGTAGAGAGAAAGTCTCCCTTGCTGATGGGTCTCTTGCTCCCATTTCTGGCAAGGGGGATATCAAGACCTTTAACACCCTTTATTTATCCTCTATCTTCCATGTCCCTAAACTTAATACAAATCTTTTATCTGTTAGCAACTTAACTAAATCCATGAACTGTAGCATAACCTTCTTTCCCACTCATTGTGTTTTTGAAGACCTGCATGTCAGAGTTAGTTCGAAAATCAGAAAAGAAAGAGAGGGACAGACAAAGAGAGAACGGCTGAATGGTGGGTGTGACGCTTTGTGTCAGTCAACACCCAAAAAGATATATTTATATTAAGTTGTAAAAGGACAGATCTGCCCTTAATGTACAGGAGAGAGATAATACAAAGAAAAGTAAAAGTACAAAAATAGCCCTACGACTAGATTTCATTGTCTCTACACTCCCCCTCAAACTGATGCTTCCATGAGAAATAGATGTCGAAACCGTGTTATTGCTTTAGTCAACAAGTTTGCTAGTTGGAGCCCGGAAGAGACATGAGGAAGAGATATGGTACCCTCAAGAAGGAGATTGCAAATGAAGTGGTAATCAATTTCTATGTGTTTGGTGTGCTCATGGAAGACGGGGTTGGATGCAATTTTTATTGCACTGATATTGTCTTGCATAAAGAGGAACAAACAATGATGGCTCATTTAGTATTTCAAATAGAAGAGCCCGAAGCCATATAATCTCACTACACACAAAAGGCATAGCCTTGTATTGAGTTTCAGTGGAAGATTTGGACACGGTAACTTGTTTCTTGCGCTTCCATGAGATAAGGGAGTTGCCTAGGAAGACTCACCAACTAGTAGTGGACCGTCGGGTGTCAGGGCATCCAGTCCAATTAGCATCTGCATAGGCCATAAGATGAATGGAAGATGATGAGGAGAAGAATGCCCCATGTGACAATGTGCCTCGCACATATCTTATAATCCAATGAACTGCAGATAAATGTGGTTGTCTTGGAGAAGGCACAAACTAACTTACTATCTGAACTACATAAGATATGTCTAGCTGACGATAAAGGGTAGGATCTTTAAGGGGAGACCCATCATCTTTACTGAGTTTTAGGTTTTGTTCTAGTGCAGTGTTCACAATCTTAGAGTCACTAAGATTTGCCAGTTTAACCAGATTAGCCGCATACTTCTGTTGATTAACAAAGTAGCCTCGAGAATTTCTGCTCACTTCAAGGCCTAAGAAATATGTCAAAGGCCCCAAGTCCTTCATCTTTAAGGATTCACTGAGTAACTGTTGTAGCCTAGAAATTCCTTTTATGTCATCCCCTGTAATGAGTATATCATCAACTTAGAGGAGTAACATCGTTACTCCCTGCTTCCTCCTTAAGATGAATAAGGAATAATCAGAAGGACTCTAGGTAAAGGCAGCATCAGTGATGACGGATCTGAACTTTTCAAACCATACCCTAGGGGCTTGCTTCAGTCCATAAAGTGACTTCTTCAAACAACAAACAAGCTACGGATCTATATAGTATCCTAGAGGGGGTTTCATATAGACTATCTCTTTCAACTCCCCATGAAGAAAAGCATTCTTGACATCCATCTGATGGATTGTCCACTGTTTGGCTGCAGATATAGCCATCAGAAGATGTATAGTAGTCATTTTAGCTATAGGAGCAAAAGTCTTAGTAGAAAGCCTGTTGAATAAAAAAATATGAAATAAAAGGAGTTTCTTGAAGAAAGAAGGAAGAGAGAAGAAGAAGAAAAGAAGTTGAAAAGAAAGGAGAGCAATGATCTAGCCGCCCCCTTCACTTATTATTTATACTAAAAATAACAGAGTAGTACAAAGACAACTATGCCCTTATAGGACGGAAAGACATAAAACAGCATATATAACACACAAAAACATAATAAAATTTGGACTCAAATAACTACTATGGTCCCCACCTCCTATCTAACAACTAACATAAGACATCTACTCCTAAAAAACATCATAAAATTGATTAATCTTCAACACTCCCCCTCAAGTTGGGAGTAAATGTCACACATTCCCATCTTGCGTAGATCATGTTCAAGCTTGTTCTTTGCCACCCCTTTAGTGAGAACATTAGCTAGCTGCAACTTTGAAGAGACATAAGGCAAACAAACTTCTCCGGTTGTTACCCTTTCTCTTATAAAGTGTCTA